AGAGAGCGCGCTCTCTCGGAAGCAGTCAATGACATTGCTTTTGTTGTTGCGTGTTCGTTACTTACTGTCTCCGAAACAATTGCTACATCAGCATTATTCCGGGCAGAAGACAGTCGGCGTTCGTCTTGCTTTTGTTGTTGTTGCATTCGACTTTGACTCGTGGATTTGCCAGTTGCACTTATTAATGATTTACCCGCAGGCATTGTACTTTGTTTGAAATTAATTGTTTTCTTCACTTTGATCTGTTAGAAAAGAAAGAAAGGGAGCTAATATGGTTAGGCATTGCTGCCAGCAATTTTTCAGTTTTATTTCACTTAAATATTAAACTAACTGACTCGCTTGGCGGAGAGATAAAAAAACACGTCTGCACGGGGCAAGAAGTAAAATTTACCAGAAGTAAATTACTACACCTACAAACTTACAAGTTGCAAAGGGTTACAAGTAGTTATCAAGGGAATCGAAGCAGAAGTCCCTTTCTATGAGATTATATCTGGACCTAAAGAGAAAGGTTTTATTGCCAAAATGGCTACGAAAATCTATACTATTCTATACTAATATTATAAAGAGGTAAAATTTGTTTGTTTGTTTGTTTGTTTGCAACTCCGTAACTACTGGTCCGATTTAAAAAATTCTTTTACCGATAGAAAGCTACATTATCGTGGAGTAAAATAGGCCATATGAAAAAAATTAGGGATCCGTAAGAAAATTGCAATATTGTCGCATATCAAGTGAGTTGCTACCTCATCACACTGACAAACACGCTACCATAGCATTTTAACTCAATTTATGTGGTTTTCATTTATCATTTCCAAGTGAATTAAGTTTTTTCACATATTATGCAAACCTTAGTGTTCTGTGCTCAGTTAATTTCATGGACAAACGGGTATTGTGTTCACTGTGAAATTGTGAAAAAAAAGTATTTTTATTCAATTTAAGTTGAACTGTGAAAATTATGTGGATCGTGCACTTGAGAATAAATTCACCACTCTGTTCATAGTCCAAAATGCTTAGAGGACGGCGTGCAAACATTGGCCGCAGACATCCAAGCCAGCAACAAGTATATTCACAAAAACTTAAGCGAAGAAAGACAAATGAGCACATGGAGATCATTGGCATCATTCAATCGCTTGGCATTCCAATATGAACACTGCGAACTACAGTGATAATGAAAATTTAGATATTTGAAAAATGTTGCAACATTGACTATTATTTTGTTAAATTGTGTTGACCAGCGAAGTGGACACAGGACCTCTAGTATAATATATATATGGCTGCTACTTCTTCAAAGCCACCGGAACCCGATTAAAGACCTATAAACTATGGTGTTGCTTTCACAAGTGAAGCTAAAGAATAAATAACAACAAAAAGGCGCCTTCGAAGAAGAGCAATACATGTAGGGGAGAGTGGGGATAGATGAACCACTTTTTCTGTTGAACATTATTATGTCTGAACAATTCGACGTTAGGGTCTGCTGTTTATAGGAATCTAAAAGAGCATTCATTTCTTTGCATTTAAAGTAGTTGGTGAAAATAATATGTCACTTTTTTGAACTTTATGGGCATTTTAAATTTTTGTCTCGAATGGTTCAAGTGTCCCCACCCGTGGGGATACTTAAACCACCCCACAAACATACTTAAACCACCTTTCAGGCTAATGGAATATTTTGAAATGCGTGAGATATACGTGAAAATAACATAATTTGCGTCTATTTAAGTTAACAAAAAATTTTCTAGAGTTCAATGCCACAGGCGGAGCACAATAAATTTTTCCCAAGAAAACGTTATGTCGCAAATAGCTGCGAAAGGCGCACAAAAACTTTGATTAGTGATAGAAATTACAGCAATTGTTTGACGCGATCACGCGTACGTGTGATGTTAAGATACCGACTGGATAAACAACACATACATATGAAGATGGTGCACCAAATCCTGATAGAAGGTGAAATATTACTAGTGGTTCATCTATCCCCATGGTTCACCTATCCCCACTCTCCCCTATATAAAGCCTAATTTTGACTCAATAAAATTAGTACGAAAAGAACTCTTTACGTATTCACTTCTCCGCAGCCCAATTTGTACTGTACTTGTGCGGCGACTATTGCCACTGGTTTTGTACTTGCGGCACGCAACAAAAACACAAACTCCAGATTTCAGCATCAGGAATTCAATTGAATTCCTACAATAATTTCTAGCGTATCTTTTTATACCTTTGCAGAGCAAAAGGGTATTATAATTTCAGCCAGAAGTTTGCAACGCAGTGAAGGAGACACCTCATATATACACAAAGTATATATATTCTTGATCAGCATCACCATCTGACTCGAAATACGTCTGTCCGTTTCTCTTTTTAAAGCTATATTGCTGAAACTTTACCAAAAGTTGTGTAGTTATTGCACGCAGTATATAAGTCGGAACAAGCCGGATCGGCAAAAACTAGATAGGATAGCTCCCATACGAGAGAAAAAAATTCTCACGACGTTTTTTTTTATCATATCGATTTGATTAATTACACATCCACACAAAAAAAAATATTTTTTCGGGCCTGGAGGTCAGACCATGTTTACTATATGTTTTCGGGTCGCTGAATCCGAATCCGAGGTCCAAAAAACCCCAGCACGTCAGGGTTCTGACATAACCTTAAAAAACCTCATACAAAATTATATTCGAGTCCGTAAGTCAGACCATGTTTATTATATGTTTTCAGGGTCGCTGAATCCGAATCCGAGGTTTAAAAATCTCCAGAATGTTAGGGTTACGACATAACCTCAAAAACTTGACAAAATTTTTATTTTCCGAGTTCTGGGCTCAGACCATGTTTACCATAAAACAAAAGTTTGTACTTATTGAGACCGAGACTTCGAATTCCGAAAATTTTTGGACCTCGGATTCGGATTCAGCGACCCCGAAAACATATAGTAAACATGGTCTGACCTCCAGGCCCGAAAAATATTTTTTTTTGTGTGGCTGTGTTATTGAATTCCGAATTAAATTTTATTAAAATCGGATAATAGGAAAGATCTAAAAATATATATAAATAAATAATGGGGAAAAAGTATAACGTCGTTGTTTTAAATCCCACGGGCATGATTTTCAAAATATTAAGTTTTTTAATAACCCTTGAATCGATAAAAAAAATCCCTAAATTCCGACAACGTTATCATATAGCTGCCATAGGAGAGTCCGAAAAATCTATATAAAAATAATGGAAATAAAATAATAACATCGTTGTTTTTCATCAGACAAGCATAATTTTTGGAATATAAAGTTTTCTAACGAATTACATATTCAATTTTATCAAAATTGGACAAAAAAATATCATATACAGTGGCGAGCAAAAGTGAGTGCATATTCACGAAACTGAAAACTTTAGATTCTAAAAACTTAGCTTGTCTGATGAAAAACAACAATGTTTCCCTTATTCCTATAGATTTTTCGATCTTTCCTATGGCAGCTATATGATATAGTAGTCCGATTTTTATGAATTTTTTTTCTTGATTCAAAGGTATTTAAAAAACTTGATGTTTTAAAAATCATGCTCGTGGGATTAAAAACAACGACTTTATAATTGATTTTTGGAATATAGAGTTTTCTAATGACATTTGAATTTGAAATTGTTCAGCCTTTATGTATTTTATTCGACATATTTGATGACTGCAAGGGTATGCAAGCTTCGACTCGCCGAAGTTAGCTTCCTTTCTTGTTTTGTGGATCGGTTTTAAAAGATGCGAGAATATTCTAGACATGTACAACTTAAAAAGCCAAAAAAAGAAAACCATTTTTTTAAAACCGTGATAACTTTGTAAACCTTTAAACCCTATACCTACTACCGAGTCTTTGCTTATCTTAAAACCATTACTTTTGTCTTACGTAACAAAAACTGCTTGGTATCGTAAGGACCACTTGTTTGTGTTAAACATAGTGCATAAACGCCCAAACAAAGCAGATAAATTTTAACATAACTTATTAAAACAATCTTAGAAGTATTCTTGATACAATTATTACAAAAAAATTATTTATTATGTAAAAAACCCAATAACAATAATCGACGACAAAATATTCACTGTTTTATTTAGGTTAAAATGAATTATGGAGTTCGTAACAGACTTAAAAGAAACTCAAAAAGTAAAATAAATAAAAACTAAGTACGTTATAGTTTTGTTTAAAATAATTTTATATAGAGTTTCCGATATTTCCCTTGGTAGTTGTATAATAGAATCGCCGATCTTTTTGAAATTTTACACAACAAAGAAAAACTGATTAAAAACGATGACTTTTTCCTATCTGATCGTCCAATCTCCGCCTTTCTGGGTGATATCCTGAAATAGCAACAGTAGTAAAGTTTTAAGGAGATGGCTTAAAACTGAGAGACTAATTTGCATTGGAACTTCCAGGCGGGCAGTCATTATTGTTAAAAAAACAAAATCCAACTATATTTTTGATCAACATCACCGTTTGTGTCAATCATGTATATTTATACTTATAGCGCCTTATATTTAACGATTCAACTCAAATAAACAATCATACATATATGTATATTACATAAAAAACTATATGCATACAGGTTTTGAAAAAATGAAGTCCGATTGTTCTAAAACAAAAGTACTAGTTTGGATTGAAACAGACTTATTTCCAATAATACAAATAAAAGGTTATAATAAATTTAAATGTGGTAACAGTTCAGAAAAAACTACTTTGCCGCAAAATTTACTTCTTATATAAATGTAAAATTTATTTTTAAATGTGTATATTAATTGATGTTTCAAATGTATATGACGTATTTTGAATTATTAATATTGTAATATACAAAAACACTACATTGCTCTGCATATGTATATTCTATGTTTTTTGCAAAGAAAGCCACGCATAAAATAGTTGAAATTCCTAACATTTTATAATAATAATAATCTGTGCTTTTCATAAAAGTTCATAATATACTTAATCTCAGTACTTATTTTTTTTTGACTATCCGGAAATTTAAGAATACTTCGGTCGTTAACATACCTGTCTCTTTAATGTCTGTCTAATTGGCAATCAATAAACAAGAATATAAGTACTCTTTTGTGTACACAAAAGTTCACAGAGCCGCTGAATGACAAATTAAAAAATTTAGTTAAAATGAGACAAAGTACGAAAAGAATTTGCGCGCGCAGGGCTTATACGAATAATGATGTTCATGGTTTACATGTCATTGTGTACTAGAGGGTTTTAAAAATGACATAACTCCGCCAGGAAAAAGGGACATAGCTTTGCCCAAAAAGTATATTTTAAATACCTTTGTAGTATAATCATCAAAAAAATAGAGCAATGAAAAAAAACGCCCATAAATACCACCAATAAAAAATCTAAAAAGAAGCATGAAGTTTAATCAGTTGTCTAAGCAATTAACAATTCTATGGTATATCTTCCTTTTTTGATTAAAAAAAGGTTTAGAAGTTTATAGTAACAAGTTTTTTAGATTTGGTCTAATCCAAAAAACGTCACCAATACTGTAGAGTTTTACTTTCTTTCCATTTATTTTATTATTTTTCTAATTCAAGCGACGTTAAAAAACTCTATGTTCCAAAAAATTTTGATATAATTATAATTATGATTTCGTTAGTCTCAATTGAACTTTCCCCTTCTAAGGGATTTTTTTTATTTTGATTGGCTATAAACCATCTGCAGAAAATCACGCAAAAAATAAAAAAAGTTATCTTAATCCATGCAGCCGTTCGTGAGTTAGTAAGCTGCATCCCAATGTAGACGTAATGCGTATATCATTCCAATGTATCCCTACATACTATAATCAATCTGACTGTTGCAATTAAAAGCAGCACGGCGTTTTAATCATCGCCGTGCAAGATCAGTACTATTCTGTGCATTACGTTCACGCTGCGATGCATTAGCTTGTGAGCGTTCATCTGGAGTCTGAGATCGTCTTAATAATGCCAGTTGATTTGCATTACGAGTTCGCCGGCCTATGTTTGGTCGTCTGGCTCGTGGCATTTTACCTTCATATATAAAAATATCATTAATTAATTCACTATTAAATAAATTTATTTTACAGGGTGGGCCATTTAAAGTTTGACCCACTTGATTCTTAAAACAAAAACAAAGAAGTGGACAATTTTTTTTTTATTCCAAAAATCATTTATTTTGGTCCAAGGGGATTTTTTACAAATTATTATTAAAAATGATATCACGTAAATGGGCACCTTTAGCACTGACAGCCGAATGCATTCTTTTTTCAGCATTTTCCATGACTTTGGTCAATGTTTCAGACGATATGGCGGCTATTTCACGTCTAATGTTGTCTTTTAGTTGACTTAAGGTTTTTGGTTTATTAGCGTATACCTTGGATTTCAAATAACCCCACAAATAAAAGTCTGGTGCCGTCAAATCTGGTGATGTTGGGGGCCAGTCAAAATCACCACTTTCGTTTTCAGACATTTCGATGGCCCATTTGGCAAAATTTAGGCGTCTTGGATAAACATCTGGGTTATCTTATGTGCCATTTGAATTTTGTAAGGAAACATCTTCAAATCGCTATGAACTATGCGTCGGAGAGTAGTGCGAGCGATGCCTAATTCCTGAGATCGTCGATAAGTCGATGTCGTAGGAGTCTCATCAATACTGGCTCGTACAGCTTCGATATTTTCATTAGAACGTCTTGTTCGTTGCCTGGATACATGACTGGCATTACTTAGATTACCGGTGTTTACAAATTTTGCGTACGAAGACTTAATTGTGTTTTTAACTGGAGCACTTTTAACTTTATTCATTTTACGAAACCCACGTTGGGTTAACACAATTGAGAATTTATTTTCAATGTAGACCTGAACAATTTGAGCGCGTTCCTTTGGAGTGTATTGTTCCATGGTATCAATTGTCTTCGACTGACGCTTCCAACGTGGTATGACATTTGACGATCTGTCGACGCTGTCAAAAGTTACAGGGTTGCCAAATGGGTCAAATTTAAATGGCCCACCCTGTACTATACTAATTCAAGATTTTTGTGTTCGGAGCAGACCGCCAGTACCTAATCTGGTGCGCATAGGTGTACCGCTGCAGTTACATTTCTAATCCGCTCTTCAAGCTACTCATATGGGACATTCTTTTACAAATCGTACACCTTTTTTTGCGTAACAATTCCGATTTTTGTCAACAAATTTTTTTGAAGTGTAGGACGCATAATAAAAAGACACGTGTATCGGTATTTTGCTTTAAAATTTTTTTTTACAAAGTTATGATTTTTGACAATATCAATGGTTCTCCATCCTTGAACACGTTAAATCAATTATCTCTTGTTCTATTAATCGTATCGTTACAATTTTTTTTTTTATTATTTAGTTCAAGAATTCAGCTTTCAAAAAATAATTTTATTTTTTAATTTAATTTTTTATTTATAAGAATTAGTTACAAATTAATCATTATATCGACATTTCAATTCCGATCCCCACAACTTATTTAATTGAAAAAAAATCAGTTTATTATCCCTATGTTTCGCTTAATAAACAGTAAAAGGAATTAGAGTGGGGTCTTCATCAGATCAAGAGAAATTAAATAATTTTCGACTCTTCGCGCAGCGCGCGCTCCACGTGCTGCCGCAGCGCGATCAATGTTATTTTATATCTTATTACCTAATAGAGACCCCATTCTAAATCCAAATGTTTTTTCTTAGGAATGACGTATAGAATTGTAATTTTCCTTATTATATATGTTTTGGGGATCAGCTTTGAAACCATTAAATTGTTTATAACTTTTTTTCTGAACAAATAAAAAAATTGCAAGTAAAAAACTTGAAAGGCAGCATTAATACCTATTGAATAAAAAAAAAGTTTTTATTATGTGTCTACTGGAAGCGGAGATAATATATTTCATATATAGAAAAAATAAATAAAAACCATTTTTTTTGAGTAAAATCCTTTTACTCGTGTCGAATAAAATCTTCCATAAAAGCTGAAAAAAAATTTTCATTCAATTCTGAGATATGAAAAAAAATTTTTCTCGAATCCGTACGATTTGTAAAAAGAATGTCCCATATGCTTGTTTATCTTTGTTATCTATAATTGTTAGAACGACTTTGTAAAGACCCGCACTTTCGGCCGGCAACACAGTCAAGCATACCAAATTTAGGGTGACCAGGCGTACGTATTAATACGGACATGTCCGTATTTTCAGCTCTGTCCGTATTTTTTGTAAAAATGTCCGTATTTTTCGCGTTTTTGACGAAAACACAGGTTGCCCTTGCAACAAGCTTTTGATAATTAACACGGCATAATGTCCGAGTCACCCGATCTTTCGACATTGAATCTATTGTAATGAAAATTTTCAATCACTTCTCGATTAACATCGTTCGGACAAATCAATTGAAGGATTTTTGCGATTTCGTTGATGTGGAGTACAGGAAACTGCTATCTCACAGCAGTGCCGGATTAGCCATATAGCAGGAGTAGCAAATGCTACGGGCCCCGCGCATTGGGGGCCCCGCGCTGCCGCGCTCCAACTCCTACCTATCTGATCGTAAAAAAAAAAAAAATTTAGATAGGAACCTAAAAATAATTTGCATGACTTAAGCGTGAAGCGCTTAGGCTATGCTTTACTCCCATCTGAAAATATAAAACTCGATTTCGTCACGTTATATTTTATCTGAAATTAAACCACATTTCTACCCTTCAAGCGGCCAGATTTTCATTTTTTTATATAGGTATACATTTATTTTGGGAGTTTACGTAGCCGAGATTGTACTTTTTTATCGATTTTAATATTATATATATATATTTATAATATTATATAGCCAAAGATCTGACCAACTGTGAAGAATACCAGCAACAGACATCAAGACGAATCAAGCGAAATACAAAGTACGACCATTTCAGCGGGTCTACTACACTCGACGACTTTGTTGAAAATCAAACTCCTGGACAACGTTTCGAAGTTCAGGTGTTTATTGTCATTATTGATAACGTACTGTCTGCTTTAAGGGATTATATACCTTTTTCACCAGAGAAATACAGGGTTTTTATTTATTTTTTTTAGCATGTTACCATTGTTTTATTTAAATACAATATACATTTTATCAACGTACGTGTCCTTAAGTAAATTCGTATAAAATTTCGAGTGAAAATATTCATAATTGTGGAAGTTATAGTCCTTGCCGCAGAAGTCCTTTTTTCAGTAGTGGCTCACGGTTAGCATGAAAACAAGGAAACGGCTCAACAGAAAAAAAAAAAAAAAACTACGTTAGTATATAGTGTTACCTAGTTCGTGAACGAAATATTTTACGAAAAAAATTTTTTTACAGTTACAGTGATTTTTTTTTCAAAAAAAATGATTTTTTGAGGTCTAATAATTTAGTTTTTCACCCAAAAAAAATAGAAAAATTTGTCGAAAATAAAATTCCTTCGTTCACGAACTAGCTATTGTATCTACAAACAATCCCCCAAAATCAAATCGATCGATGTAGTGGTTACCGAGATACCGTGCTCACCGCAATGACCTTTTCTCAAAAATGCGATTCCGAGATAATCGCGTTTTAAGTTTTAGCTGGACATTAGGTAGTCGTGTACACCGTGCGCTATGAACGGCTGTATCTTGGGTTCTAGTGCCCCGATCTCTAAAAAATTTTGCAGAAAAATTGTTGAAGTATGTACATAAAAAAAAAAATCATACAATTTTTTTCGATTTTTTGATTTTGAAAAAGGTATATAACCCCTTAACTAAACGTATGAAGGCATATCATAAGATTACTAGTGTTTTTGAAGTATTTCGACAGCTAAAATCTCTTACAACAGAAGAGATTTTGGAAAAATCCTCAAGTATGGTCAGTGCTTACGAAGATGATTTGGAAAACAGCCTAGGTGGCGGAGCTGCTGAAAACAGATGTGGCTACTGTTATTGACAGCACGAAACAGGAGCCTCTGGAACAGCAATTTTATAAACTTTTATTAAATAATTCTTTAGAATCGTGTTTCCCAAACTTAGAAATTGCCTTGCGCATTTACTTGTCTCTCATGATCACTAACTGCAGTGGCGAACGTTCTTTTTTAACATTAAAACGTATTAAAAATATATTAAGAAACACGATGGGCCAAGAACGTCTTAATCATCTCACTTTGTTGAATATAGAGCATGATTTGCTTAAAGAAGTCGATA